CGTTTTCTACGCAACTTTTTACATAGTATAAGAAAAACATTTATTTTTGGGTTTACATGCCATTTAAGTCACGCGCTTTGGCTTTTGACGTGAGCTAACCGACTGACAAATTCTGCGAGTGGACCTGAATACTACACGAAATACTCTACGTATAATATTACCGAGAATATGTTTCTAGTACCTGAGTTCCAGCTAATGGTAGGCGTAAAATTTGTGTACAGTTTTTAACAGCGAATTTTTGTGTCGAACCGGAAGTAGAGAGCGATAAAAGACGGCTTCATTTAAATATCTAATTTGTCTAATTTGTCTCACTGAGTGAGGAAGTCACAAACTTACTAAGACAAGCCAGAGTCTTCAGTGTAAGTTTTACGACTTCAAGCTTATCATGGAGCTTCATGTACCGCCATTACAGATTTTTTTTCGCTGGGTGGTAACTGAGTAACTGACGGAGGAAACCATTTTATGTTAACAGATTTCATACATGACAACATTTTTACATGCCAAAACAACAAACAGACTCACAAACTCTCACAGCTTTAAAACACTCGCGTGGTTTACTTTAAGCACTTCCCCTCCGTTTTCTGTCAGAAAGCGCCTTATTAACTCTATTGAGGAATATTGCCTTTCAAGGTTATATTGATTTTGCTGAAAGTAATGGGAAATTAAGGCGAGATTGTAGACTAATTAAATTCAGTTACATATCTATTTGCGGAAATTTCGTCATAATGATGCTAAAGGTGAGAGAGTCTTTCAAACCTCCGAGAATATCGCGGAAAAATCTCCGCACAGCCCCATAGTTCCTTATGCATGCACATCTTATTGGTCATACACTGAATAATAAAGCCCCATCTATGGATACATAATGAACGAAGTATGGGGCTATGCGGAAATTTTGCCAATATCGCTGAAAAGGAATTTAGTTGTCGCTCATGTTATCCGCTTTAGTTTCTGGGAAGGAAAGGTTAATCACATGATTACAGCGAGAACGAAAGCCGAGCAAGCTATTTCATGGGTTGACCAATCATTTAGCGCCGTGAAATTTAATTTACAATCCAGTCACGCATATAGTTTGTGGCCACAAATTAAAAAAACTTCAGAGGGTTAACACACGCAAGATACGCACAAATGCTTATTCGCAGCAGGAGAAGGAAAGGTATAAATCAAAATTTTACCGATCCATTTAAGGTCCTCACTTATTATGTGGTTTCACTCTATTTTGGTTTTGCTGCTCTCATTGTTCTACTTTTTTTGCGCAGTCAGTGATGACTAAGGCAGCTATAACGCAGTCGTTGATTGAGTATTTGAAATGCAGTATTACCTTCGTTGATGTTTAACTGCATTTCAGGATCGACATTAGAACTGACTCCGCTGAAACTCTTTACAAGCTTTAAATTGTGCTCTGAGAACTACTACAACTTCTTTATTAGAGTTGTTTGATAAGTTGGACCTGAATTTACGTTAGCGTAGTACATTCGATCTCATATTTCTCTCAGTATATGCTCAAAAGGAAAAGAAAATTTCACTATTATTTCAGCGTTTAAGCATCAGATCCCTCAACCCTCAAAGCTCGCCTACTTAGCCATATTTTTCGTTAGTGGACAATTTTTGTGGTTGCACTTGTGGTGAGAGCTTCAGGCTTTCTGAATGAAGGCTATCATAACATTTGTCAAGGTAATTTTCGTTTTCTTGATCATGATAGTTGAAACTATAACAGTGATTAGTTTTAGGGCAGCAAAGGATTTATAACGGTAACAACGCCTTAGGGTGTTTCATGTTTGAACTACGGATAACCCGAGAACCTATATTTTTTTTTCTTTTTCATATCAAGCACTTTGTTTTAGCGGTAGGTAAAGTTACGTAAGTCAAAAGAGTTGGTCTGGGAAGGCGTAAGAAAGACGTGAGGAAATTTAAAACTGCAGTCTCGATATCAAGACTGGTAAGAGGAAGTAATTTCAATTATTTATCTATGCGCCTAAAAGCTGGGATGAGTCATAACATGTAGCAGATGTTTCACACTGACTTACTTGATATAGAAGCTTGGTTAAAACTTCCTCAGAAAATTAGCTCTCTTTGTGGGTGTATGCCGGTTCAGCTTGCTTTTGAATTTGACGCGATAAAATCGAGGTAAATGCTTTTTATCTTTCCCTTTGTGATTAAAATAACTTCTTTATCAGATGATTTTTAAATAAATGTATTCAAAACTTGTACCCAAAGAACTCACCTCTAAATCTTCTTTTACCAGTAGCAGCCAATAAAGAAAATCTATGTTTTTTCTTTCAACAAGTCGACCTTATTAATTAATACTACGGTTTGCAGAAGTTTGATAACAGTTTGCTTGACTGTTGTCTTTATTATAGTCTTTTGTGCTTAAAACTGAGATAATGAGATGGAGATCCGAACGGAGTAGGAAACTTCTTACGCCATTTATGATATTTTAGTTAGAGACAAATACCCTCCATTTAGACGGATAGAGGAGATATAGGCGTCTGATCGACCTAATTCATTACTAACTGAGCTATTGTGTTTGTCCATTCGATAGCGGTGGCATACAACTGTTACCATCGAAGTTTGACCGATGCAAAATATGTGATTCTTAAAAGTGTTTATAATTTTAATCAGAGACCGGTCATGTTACTAGAAATTTGTTTGTTCAGTATAAACTCATTTCTGTTCCTTTTCTTTCCTGTGGAATATTATGGCATACTGAAAAGTAGCAACCCTCTTGTCTTATAAGTTTTTTTGGGCAATTACATTTTTTTATTATTAGTAGTAGTGTTGCTAATTTTTTTTTTAATGTTAAAAACACCTCGTTTAGAATATTACGCTGACATCTTAGTGCATGCTATAGTTGGCAGTTGTTTGCGTTAAAATTTTCGGCAAATGCAAATGAAATTCGGAAGGTCTCAAATTTCCGTCAAGATTCATGTAGTAGAAAACTGAGCTTTATGGTAGGTTCACTTCTTTATCTATTAGGGTTAGTTTCCACCAAAATCAGGGAGAAGCAAGTATGTTGTACTTCGCTATCTAAGCAAATTTCCTCATGTTCTAATTCCTTCTTTTAGGAGCATCATACATCTTCAGCAGTTTTAGGATCTTTTTTTGTGTTTTACTGAATACATCATATCTACAGTTTAATCGCCGATCCATACTTTGTCGACGGGAAATACCTCATAACAAACTGACACCAGGCAGGGTCAAAGTGGAAACATGGCGATCAGGTAATTTTGTGAAAAATACATTTACCTCAAGATATTTGTATTTAACAATTTTTAACTTCACCCATGGCAACATCGTGGTTCATGCCGAAATTTGTGTACTTGAGCAAACAACATTTACATCTTATGACTGAAGTTCATGCTTTTTCGGAATACGATTTCTGAGTAAAATAACAGCTTTCGTCTGTTATTAAAAATTCGCATTTTGAAAGGAAACGTTCATGCATATTTGTGGAAAACGATACTCCGACTTTGAAAATAAGATTCAAATTGATTCCTTTTTCTGCAGGTGTTATTATGAAAACAAGGTGCCCTTATACATCATTCTTGTGGTAAGTTAAGTGCTAGATAATTAAATATAGGCAAAGCTTTTAAAGATTATTACGTCACAACTTTGAAAGTTTCAAATACCACCGGCCTTATGGCTATTTTGATGACGTTTTGTAGGTAATTATACGCAAAAACAAAAATCATTCAAATATATAAATATAAACAGTGTAAATCGACTTTAAAGATAATGTGTCGCTCTGCAGCAAACCTACAGCAAAGACCCTCCTTTGCATCCTATTAAAGAAGACTCGACTAGTCATTAGCAACTTTGTTGTCGCTTGAAACCGAGAATGATCTTCGAAGTTATGCACATCTCTATTGAGTAATTATAAAACTAAATGTTGATAAAATCAAGCTTCAAACCCATCACTTGGAGCAGCTCTTAGTAGCTGAAATTTTAATCTACCTAAAAGCTGTTCGTTGGTAGAACTGAGTGTTACTTTTCGAGAAGCTGATAAAGGAAACAGAAATGTTAGAATTTCTCATTTACAATTTAAACATTTGGCTTTACACCAGGACTGAAATGGCGGATGTAACCCAATGGATGTCCAAGTTTATTATTTGGTTGTATTACCATAAATCCTTGGAAACGCATTGGGACTTTGATATTTCATAGGCACAATCATCGAAGGAAATCCTTGACATTGCCAATTCCATGTGTGTTGATTATTGTACTCATGTAGACATGTAAGTTATATCACGATCACATTAGGGTGCTTAAAGCAGTCGCTATTCCAAAAGGTCACTTCTCACAATCTCCCAACATTTCCCAGACGTTGGAAAATTTTCATCAAAACTGATTTAACAAACAAGTAAGATTACTAGTACGGTCCATGAGAGCATTTTGTTATCTACTTAGATATTCTTGACGATTTATGGACGACATGTAGCCAGGTGATGGAAGCTTCATCACTGGCAGAACACTTGGGAATATTTGAAGAGACTTTGAAATTTTTTCTTTCTTCGGATGCATTTTGTTAATTATTTTACTTCTCCAAGATGTGTTTACGCTATCATAAGTTTGATGAGAGAAATTAAAAGATATCTAGTAAATGTTTTAATAGCTAATTGCAATTGATTTCTATCATTAACAGAACTACTGTTGTGTTCTTGCCGTTTCGAAAGTCGGTGAGTTAGTTTTATTAATCATTCGTTGGTACTTCAAATCTCACTTTTTGTTTATCTGAATGCATGTACTTTGGTGTTTTAGTAACGGTTATCAGTTCAATTCTCATCCACCAGCTAAAGTAAAACAAATGATTCTTTGTATCATCGGATTTGACGTTCTGAAAACTCAAAGCATACGGATACTTGTCTTCTTTAACCAAAACAATCGAAAGTCAAACGTTGTTTCCCTTTTGTGATTTTCAGGCTCTTTTGATTATGTTTACTGGCCTTTAAATGGAAGTGAAGAAGACATTGGGTGAGTATCATTGATGTTATTAGTAAATATAAACCCAATCTGCCGATTGCTTACACGAGGTCTAACCCACACCGCGATTTTGCGCAAGTAATGCGCCTCTAGGTTCTCTATAAGAGGGTTAATTTAATAAAATAAATGTCCTTCCAAAATTAGCTTTCGACTCTCTTGACACTGTAGTTCAAAGGGAGTAAGTTTTTAAAGAAACTGTGGAGCTGTGTCGGTGGGAGAGTATAACAGGAGTTTCAAACTGCGTCGGTGGGAGAATATAACAGGAGTTTTAAACTGCGTCGGTGGGGGAGTATAACAGGAGTT